TTACTGGGGTCGGACATACTACCTGCTTTAAATAATGGAATAACTTTACTATTTCATTAATCGGGAAACTCGCCACTTTTAATACAATTGTTGAAAATTATTGCTAGATGGGGATCAATTACATCAATTATACTAATTATTTTTACAGAAATACCCCAAGATCGGTAGTGTTCTTAATGTTATGGTTCTAAATATCCTAACTATTCGTCGGCACCAATGGGTCGGTGTAACGGAATGCTGAACCTTGCCTCACAGGCCTTGTTCTTAAAAACGCACTAAACACTCATTATAAAATTCTAAATAGTGGACGTAACTATTATCAACTATATATTTTAACAAAAAGTATAAATAAAAATGCATCTAACGTAACCCGAGTAAATCTCAAAGTAAAAATCTCAACAATGACTAAAGAAAAAATGGGAGGATCGGCCGAGTAAAAATATTTGGGATCACCCTCATCAAATATTATAAAATTAAAATTATGTATTTCGACCACGTGTTGTTTAACTAAAAATACTCAATACAAAAGCGCGGTAGAAATCGTTTACATTTCCCGATGTTCATACTCTGTGGTAATCGGTATCACTGAAGCTGGCACATTGTTTAATTAGCAATTTAATAAACTAAATGACGCCATTACATTAAAATATTACGGATGATATGAGCACGCTCCAACCTGACACGATATCCGTGCATGTGGTTTACTAGTTTATTAATCTGCAGGTTTGATATCCGACAAAACAATTGTTTTTGGGTTGCCTTAAATAATATCAGACCTCAAACAATCTATGTATTTTTTACACGCAATGACAGCCTTGCGATTCTGTTACTCACTTTTCGAACTCTCACAGCGGTTTTTGCATCGGCGGTCACGCTCAAATCAGTCGTGAAGCAGTTATTTTTGATAAGGTGGGGAGCTTCCCCCCCCAAACCCCGTATTTATTGTTGGTAGGTTTTGCTGAGGAAAAATGGGCAGGAGGCTTTTCTGATGTTGACACAATAACAGAAGGAATGGAAGAATGCCTCATATTATATATCATTCAATCTAAATACGTACTGTTTAAATTAAATCAATTTAACGTGCCAATGACCTTATCCATATTTAATACGTCTCAGATTGAAAACAATTAACAATTTATTGCTAATTATATAGTAAATTGTTCTTTATGCCACAAATTAATTTATTTCCAACACACTTATTCGCTCTCTTGCCTCCGTCAATGTTCTATCAATTTTAATTTTTTTAACACATACGAGGACCTACCACAAATATCATAATATCCAGCTTCTTCTCGCAGCTTCGTCGTGGATCTAGCGTGGACTTTTGCGACTGTTTCAACAATAATCGTTTACATCAAACCTTATTGATTATTACGCTCAACCTTCCTTTGGTTTTTTTTCAGAAATTTTGGGATCTTTAAAAAAAAAAAAAAAAAAAAAAAAAGGGGGGGGGGCCCCCCCCCCCCCCCCCCCCCCCCCCGCCCCGGGGGCGGGGCGGGGGGGGTCCCCCCGGCGCCTTCCCCTTCCCCCCCCCCGGAAAAGGAAAAAAGGAAAAAAAGAAAAAAAAAAGAACGGCGGCCGCGCAGGGGGGGACCCAACCAACCACAAAAGAGAGGGGCCCCCCCGGAACCCCACAGGGCCAACACGCAATATTTATAATCATAAAAACCACACTGTTATTGATTCGGTAGTTTTAAACACATAAAGATAGACTTAGCAGCCGAGCTTAAATTATTATAATATTATATTATGTAAAAATCTGTGGCGCTACAACCTTTTAGATCTGGTCCTCGGATTTCTTTGTTTCGTAATCATTTGTTTTCTCTTATAGGTGATCGGCCTGTACGATACACGCCGGCCACTTTTATGGGTCTAATGCGGATTTCCTCACGATGTTTTCCTTCACCGTACGAGCGAGTTATGCGCATATAGCACGTCCATTGGTGCAAAGGGTTTGAACGACAGCAAGTACTAGCCGAATACTACTCCCTGCTATATCTAAGAATAGAATAAGTATTTATTAATTTCCAACGGCTTTCACCATATCAGTTACTATTATGTTCTTTCTACCCTCATTAGATTATCCTACTGATATTATACTTTTAAAAAGATATGTTGCAAAAATTCTGGACGTCGAATTCAGTTTTTTTTAAATTGGAACCACCAAAGGACTTTCGATTCGACATTTTTTTATTCTATTATCACAATTGAAATAAATACTTGTTAATAGAGTATTGTCGTTCATGATTTTTATATGGGTACATAAATGTTCATAATTATATACATCTTCACCATATTACGATATATGGAACATTCTGTACAGCCACACACTTGTTACATTCACAGAAGGAAGTAAACAATAGATGTTTATTGTTCTAATTCCGGACTCTAGAGGAATGGGGACTCGGTAACGGGAGGGCGCGGTCTGTTTGCGCAGGCGACGATTATAGTGTTTGTAGTGTTTGATATTAGCGATATGTCGCCAATTACGCGATAATGTGACAGTTGGGCGCACCCGTCACTCGAGAACCTAAACACCGCACCCTAAAAAATTTTATGGACCACTGGAACAAAAAGTAATTACTATTCTATGTTAACATTATCATGCCAAAGTACCTTAGAGTAATTTTAAAACCATAATATTAGGTGTGTAATATGTATAGGTAGAAGAGAGAGTAGGCCATTATGAACAGATCATACCAATTAATGAGCTTCAAGACTAAATAGGTTAGTATTAAACTTACGTAACACTTTTATTTTGTCACTGGAAAAATGAAAACAGCGGTAGGGTGTGAGGTTACTTTCGGGGATTATGAACTGGTGAAGATTGTGAACATGTATGCTTAAGTTAACATTAGTTATTGATCGGAACTGTAACCGAAGTAAACCGTCAAATTGTGAAACGGATCCGCCGATTTGTTGAACGGAATATCCCCGCGCCACCATATTTGTTTGTTCGTTTGACATTTATAAACTTCAAATTGTAGGGGATGAGAACATAATGGAACTGCAGTCCCGAGAGGTTCATAAAAATAAACAAAGTGCGATTATAGGAGGGGCTAGAAGTCAGTAGTGGCTATGAATGACAATAATATAATTGTGTGACCATAGTCTCAAACAAATCTAAAGATAAAGTATGATAAGCAGCTACTTTCGGCATAAAGGCGTCATTAAAATTTGAATTGAGAACAAAATAATATCGTGATTGTATCAAATTATGTCTGTCGTAGGGTTTCAACATATTAAGCATTAAAGGAAAATTTAAATTTGGAACAATTTAAATAATTAACGTGATTGCAAATGAATGCCAGTCATAAGGAGGTTTTACCTTTTTAGGTTTCATGTTAAAAGCGTAATTTGAAATTTGAATTTAGAACACAACGTCATTAAATATCATTCCTAATCTATATACAAAATTTAAATTTGGAACAATTCAAATAATTAACAAGATTGGGAAAACGAATAGAAGTTTTATACAAAAGCGTAAGTTGAAATTTGAATTTAGAACACAAAGTGATTTTATAGTAATTTTTAAGTAGCTATAATTTAAATCAACTGTAGATTCTTTTAATATCATTCCTGATCTATATTAGTAATATAGCTTTTATATATTCAGTTTCGGGATAGAACAAACATTAATAATTTAGCAAGCTTGCTATCGCTATTTCCCAGAGTTTAGGTTTTAGCCTAACATTAATTATATATGTAATATATGGATGTGTTGATATAGATACAAATAAGCTTGGAAGCTACGTTGCTCGCATAAGGCTTCCCATAAACATGAAAGCTTATACCAGCACATCTGCACATATGTGCAACCAATAAGAAATGAATGAAAAAGTGAATTCGTTAATTATATATCTAATCGCTTTCTTTTGTGTTAAATTGTGTTAACGCTGTGATGAAAGGAAACGGATGACTCAAAACGGTGCAGTTATACTTATTTAGACCTTTTATCTTCACTTTAGAGATACCAGCACTGATCCACATATCTTTTTATAATACTAACAAAAAAATGTTCAGCTGTGCGAAGCCGGAACTTTTACGCGACCACTGACGTGTTTTTCGATAGCGTTTAATACTTAGGTACTTAGTGTATCATTCAGAACCGTTTTAGCACTAAGCCCTACTTCCGTATGTCAAAAATGTATCAGATTTTGACATACCGGAATCATAGTCTTATTGCTTAAGACTCGTTTCTGAATCTCACTCTTAATCTAATTCATGGTAGAAAAGAAAGCGCAAGTATCAAGTATCTCAATCTCTTCTTCCATCAAGTTAAATAATAATATCTGGGCCTTATTTCTAAAAATATTTAAAACGGTAAGTAATAACACTATTTAGCGAGCACTGCTCCTTGACACTATTCCTTATCACCACACCTACCCATATATCAAAACGATTATTAGTTTATTGGAAATTATAATCATAAATTTAATATTTTTATTGCTTATCGTGTATTTATTTTCGTAGATTTTAACGCCTATACGATATAGTATTAATGCAATTTACAATAATTCAAATACTGTTCGATTTTACTGTTAAAGAAATATTATTCATTGGCAAAATATGAGTATTTTATTCGCGATAACTGTATTAACAGGGCACGTTTGTGTTGTTGTGTCTTAAAACCCTTTCAAGGTATTGATATTGACTTCGCGTCCGGGATCACAGTCAGATAAATTTTTAATAAGATCGTATACACACACGTGTGTGTTCTAGTAAAGTTCGGACTGGTTCTGTAACCGCAAAAGCTTATTTGTCGTATATCAATTAAACTTAGATAAAGACTCTCTTTTTGATAACCTATTTGCGCATTCTCCGCAGTTCATTGGCTCTGGGAATATGTGGGACACAACTCACACCAGGCATCCTCTCTGCTTCTCGAAGAGCCTATAAAAACTCCTCTAATACAATACTGGGTTTGCGTATGACCCAATAAGGATAGGTCATGCCTAAGGTGCGACTATCACGGACACTCTTTCGATGTGTGTTCTTCTTCATGACATCTTGGCTACGGCTTTCGTTGAGCGATTTGGTTCAGATAACTTCCAAACCATCCATGCACAGGCACGTCGCACATCGGCTTTCCAGACGGTGGAAGGAATATCCAGCTCTTTTATCCAATTTTCCATAGTGGACCTTATCCGTGCAATCTCTGCAGTTAATAGTTCCACCCGACATTGATAGACACCCATAAAATGTTCGGTAGCACGGAATTGCCCTACACATGTAAAAGTCTCTGTCCATGTCCCAAGTGCAATAAATATCCTATTTAACACCAGGTCCATTATGTAATGTTTGATTAGATAATTTTTATTGCATGTAAATGTTTTGTGTGTTGGCAAAATTACATTGTAATTTTACCAACGAATACTTTTAGGTGGTTTTCGTACCACTACGACGTCCATTGTTCAACAACTGAGCGTTTTATAAGGCGGTTCTTGCCGCGCACCACCACTATTTTGAATGAGCTGTCCACCGATGTATTTCCGATCCAATTCGATCCTTTAAGAAATGAGCGTACCAATTATTAAAAGCCAACACCCTTGCGAGCCCTCTGGCAATGTGTCTGTGGGCTATCACTTAACATCAGGTAAGCCTCCTGCCCGTTTTCCCCTGTTTCATAAGATAAAGGTGTGACTCAGATGGTGTACTGGGGTGACTCAGCGATTGCTCAATGGCTGGCTCAACTCGCACGTGATGATCACAACCGATGACCGTCACACAGGTAGCTTTACTCACGTCCTTATCGAGTATTGATAAGGACATATAAAACGCCATAATAATTTAATTACTGTATTTTATTAAGAAGTAGTAGTAGTTAGTAAATTTTGTTGTTGTGTGCGGTTCAATGATATTACTCTAATTGCATTGCTTCGGTCTAGTTCGGTCACGTTTGGGATGCGAGCGTCTACATTTATTCTGAAATCTGTCATTCGAAATAATTATTCAATATACAGAACTCAAACGCATTACAGAATAATAACACCTTTTTTACTTCCACTACTAGCAAAGATAGTGACATCTGAAATGGGTTGGAGGAAGCCGTCACCCATATCCACAGGTGACTAACATTTAGCAACCAGTAGATACGAAATGACGAGAGGAATAGAAAAGCAAGAAATAAACTGGTGCCCAAGAACAAACAAAACAGAGGAAGACAACATAGAAGGTGCATAGATCAAATTAAGTATACAGCAGGTACATAGCAGAGAGTGGCATAGTGCAGACAGCAATTGCGGAATTTTGAGGAGGCGTTTGCCAAAAAAGGGCACACAGATACCTAAAAAGAATGAGATAGAAATATGAATGTGTTTAAGTGTAAAAGTATCTGAAATAAAAGGACATTATTTTTATTAAATACGAAATTTGAAAGGTCTACAGGAAAAAAATCTACAGTAGGTCCATTTTTAATTAATGCTTTACATAAGGGTCTGCTAACACTTTGAAACGACCATGAAAAGCATACACCAATGAGAATTCGCTAAAATAATGCAGCCGATGAAAATTTGTGCTTTTGAAATATTAAATTAATATCACAACGTCAAAGCTTTGTTAAATATTTATCCATTGCAAGTTAGATACACAATTCCTGTAAAAATCATCAAAATACAATTCTTATTAGATATTTACACCTTCCTACCACGTGCAGGTGACCTGGAGTCCATCACTGTCGAGATGGACAAATAAATTTATGACCAAACTATTTCCATACGGCAAATACGGAAGTTTGCGTTCACGCTAACCTATAAACAGACATACAGTCATGTTTATATATTATGCCTACCACGCAACCTCTAAACGCGATTGTTCTTTTATTACGTTGGAACTAAGGATTCTTTATCAACAACTTACAAACTTTTTTAATCTACTGATTTAACCTATTGTTAAGTTATACCAGAGCCTGAAGGTTGTGTTGCCGGGCTGTATAAAATTATTTGTTTGTAAAAGCTTGCGAACGCTTGACACACTGATACATTGTTCCAAAAAATATAACATACAAATAGCAAAAAAAATCAACAAAACAATTAATAATAAAAAAACTAAACCAAAATCCTTTCAAAGTGTGAGAGGAGCGGCTATGGATATCAATACTTAGCTCGTTTATCAGAATGCTCAATCTGGATATCGGTGAGTTTTGGCCAAAACGCGTTCTTCTGATAGGAGGGACAAATGAGATGATGGGATGCCTGGGGTATCTAAATGTTTAAATTTAGTTAAAATTTTGGGGCAATTCATTTAATTACAATACAAATACTCATAGAAAAAGTACTAAACTAGAAAGCGACAATTAATTTATTGAAACATTAGTCAAGGAAAGAAAAAACAAACTATTTGTAACGATATGAAAATATTTAATTTTCATTGAAACAGTAAAATGTGACAATCAAAATGGCGGTCGTTTTTATAAAACGATCACTTAGCGATTGTTGTTAATATAGGACAAGCTATCAGTAGCGATCGTATTCGATAATGTAGATTATGTTTGGTTTTATATTTTTATGGGCAGTGTAGCCATTTATACGACTAAAGTTGCTAGAGTAGAATAAAAATTTAAAGAAAACACTTTTTAAGTTATGATTATTATAATTTCATTTTTACCAACTTTTCAATTCTTTCCATGCTTTACACGTTCATGGACACGGTCGAAATTTGTGAAGTAGGTCAATAAAAGACCATAGAATAAAATTTTTTAACTACTTACCAATTGTTAGCTCATTACTAGAAGTTATTAATGTTAATCGTAACAATAAGTTAATCTGTTTTATTTTCTATCATAATATAGACACAATTAATTTCCTATGTAGATAAGTCCTAACTTTAGGAATTAGAACTGGACTTATAATTACTAACCAAAACATAAGTTAAGTTACATTATAATATAACATTCTCGTTTCCGATAATGTCCAATAGGTCCTTTATATGTAACAGAAATTTCACTAGGCCGACTACGCAAAGGATGGGACGATAAACTCAAATTAACAGCAGCAACAGGAGAAGAGTCGCAAAGAATAGAGAACAGTGGAAAGAGTTAGAGGAGGCATTTGCCAAGAGGCACACCGAACTCTGAAATATACTGTATTGAAAATATGTTAAATATTACAGATTTTTGAAATATAAAGGCTATATTATTATATTATACATTCTTTAACATCCACAAATCTTAATTAATTAAGAGCAAAAACCAGTGACAGAGAAAAAGGAGCACATTTTAAGCTCTTAAACGTCTCCCAATGAAACCAAATTCCCCTAGATCCGTCAAAATGCCTAAACGGCAACAGTGCCTACGGGTACAAGCGGCTATAAAGTCTGAAATGAGCGCCGAATTGTCGGAAGCGAGTCGAAAAAGCTGGAAACAAACACTTCCATTAGAGAGTTTACTTAATGAAGCAAACCAGGCGCGCTCTAACTCGCACTAAGAGGTAGAACAAACATGTGCTATTATTTCCTTTCGTTAGCCGTGCTTGTGGGAGATCACCGCCCACTGACTGCCCACAACCAAAACCTATGAACTGATCCATCCGTGGCACACTTCACACATTTGTCTCCTCCGTGATAAAGTGCCATTCGTCCTGGGTTTGATTCCAGGTCAAAGGTTAGTATAAAACTAGCTTAGTCTGTGAGCTAAATTACGCTTTCTGTTATATTCACAATCGTTTTACGTTAATATAGTTCGACAGTATCATCTTGATACTTTTTTGTACAGAAATGCCTATAAAATTACGTCTGTTTTAATTATTATTAAAACAGACGCAATGTCCCTTATAACAATTAAAGTCGATGTAACCTATCGTGACCTATGTACGTACATCGTATGTTGTATAATTAAAATAGTCTGCTTCATTGATAAACACTATAAGCTAATATGATAAACGATCTTCACAATTCATTCTGCAAAGTTAAACTTTCTAATTCTATTAATACGCAAGGCACTCAGAAAGTTTAAACTTACGATAAATACCTGGCTAGTTGAAAAACTATTTCTAGATATATATACTCGTACAACATTTAATGATCCTATTTCTGGAAAAGAAATCGTAAAAATTTGTTGATATTAACTGTTTTTATATAAGCCATAACGTATATTGCATATTCTCTTGGTTATTCTCGTTGTTAATAGTTGATAGACCAATATTAGAACAGAACCATTCCTCAGGCTATTCCAATAAATTATGGCTTGTACGTGGTACTAGGATAAACAAACAGGTATCAAATACGATGCAATTTGCCTTTCACAAAGTGCACGAGAAGGAGCCTACTCGCGAGTCACGATATGAGAGCAGCCAACGAGCAAGTTTATAGGGCAAGCTGCGGCGGCCGACCCCTCCGCCCCTTGCTTCACGTCGCTGCCCCCCGCGCCCCGCCACATTCACTCAGTCAGCCGCCGGTCGTGATCTGCGGAGCGCGCGTCGTCGTCTCTCAAAACTCCCCTTTACCCCTCTGTATAATCGCGCGATCTTCGCAAGTGACCAAAGGATACAAAACCAGTGCGAAAATTGTCATACGTGTTTTGTGCAATTGTATTAAGTGCTATCAAGTTTAAGTGCATTGTTGTGAAACAAGCGTGGAGCCAGCCGGTTTGGTTGCATGCCGGGACCCGCTTGTCGCTCGCCACTCGCCGTGCTTTCTAAACGACCCACACTCGAAACTTTACAACATGAATTTCAGATGAATAGGATATGCGAATAGAGGTAGGCTAGTCCAATATTGCACGCATGTTATGTATAAAGCAATCAAAAACGAAATTAATGTCTAAAATATAACTATTTGCGCTGAATTAAACATAGACCTTCTAGTTGTGACACACACGACATTACTCATAAAACTAATAATAATCTTAAGTTAGAAACACGTTGCTTAGTACATAAACTTGTCACCGATTTGTCTTGAATTTTTGAGTTAGGCAATGATGTAAGGAAGTCCTTATCTTTAAGCAGTTAACGGCCATGAACTAAATTTTACACCTCTTAATCTGTGGAGAAAAAAGTACAAGATGTTATTTATTGTTAGCCAGTACACAGATTGAATTTAAAACACGTTTAAATTTATTCTTATTACGTAGTTCAGCATAAACACTTCCTATACAAACCCCACCTAGGCCCATTAGGTTTTGTATTATCGAAATATAATTGCCAAACCTATCACCCTGGCGATGTCTGCATCGGATTAAATTATATATTTATCAAATTTATTTTGCCTCAGACAGGAAAGGAGTACTCGAGGTTGTCGTATTTAATTTATCTAATATTAGATGATTTATATTTTTTTTGTAAAAAATATACTTTAT